GGCCGTGCCCGCAGCAGCCTCCGCGACAAGCACACGCCGCCGTGCGTGCACCCAGGGGCTGCGGGACCCCCTGCACGGCCGTGGATGCATCCAAGGGCTGCAGGAGCACACGGAGGGTAAAGTCTCCCCTGCAGGGTGCATCCCCGCATCACCGTTTCCAAATTCCCTCAATTTTTTCTTTTTCTTTTTTTTTTTTCCCCCTCCTGCCTGGAGCTGAAGCTGAAACAAAAAGGGCCAAAAAGCCACAACTGCTCTTGTTGGGAGACTCCTGGCTGGGAGACTCAGGGGGTGTTACAACCCCTAAACCACACAAATAAAATAAAAACTACCCTTCAGGAAGAAGGGCGCAAGAAGAAAATCTCCGGGCACTGCCAACTGGAAAAGCAGGAGCCAAAATCTGGCCTGAAACAGAAAATCTGTTTAGACTTAATTCAATTTTTAAAAGCCAAGAAGACCTGTGAGCCTTGCAGCGCAGCACAAGAAGGTGATGTGGAAGCAGCAGAAAGCCTGTGATTAAAAATCCCTGCTCTGGGCAGCTGAAAACCATCTGAAAAGACTGGAAAAAAAAAAAAACCCCAAAAAAACCCACCTCTATATCTTTTTTAATTTTGCCTGCAGTGCCTGGCCCTGGCTCGGTGCCTCCTGCAATTTTAGCACATCCGAGAGATGTTTTCCCTCACTCAGTTACCGTTCTCACCATCGAGCCATTAATAAATCCATCTCTCAGGACCAGAAGAAGACAAGGGGGCTCACAACAGCCCTAAGAGTCAGCGAACGTCAGCTCTGGGGAGCACCCGGGGCAGATCAGACGTTAAGAGCATCTCTCTGCCAGCCCTTCTAAACGAGCCCTGGTTTATCTGCACATCCAAAGATAGAGCAAAACCCACTCTGCCCAACGTTAATGGTGTCAGAAGCCCATCTCTCTCTTCTCCTGTAAATATTGCCCATCCCTGGGGATTTTGGAGCAAGTCGTTGCCTTCAGACCAGGTTCACTGCTGCCCTGAGTGCTCACAGAGAGGAGAGGAATATTTTCGAAATGAATTTTCAAGATGAAGCCACGAATGGAAACAAAGTCTTGCAGGAGACAGCTGATTTTTAACCTTTTTATCCGGGAAATGCATTCTGTACTGCAGCAGGAACAGAACATCACTGCCCCGTCCAGTCCAAAGCCCAGAAAGGCAACAGCTTGGTAGAGGGTGAGCAGAGCAGATGAGATCGTGAGCCTTGGGGAATCCTCCGCCAAGCACCAGCTCCTTGGTTCTCCAGAAACTCATCCTCACCGCAAGCATTACAGGAGGCTCCAGCTCATCTTTCTGCCACCGGCTCCATCTTTGCCTGGCTACTCAGCTCTGCAGCAGCACCTTCCAGTTTTTCTGATGTTGCCTCAGCTCTTTGGGTTTAATTAGATCAAAAACCAGCCAAGATGGCAATGCTGGGCAAGCTGTTTTGGGGGAACGGTTCCCCCTTTCCAGCATCACCTCCCTGCATCGCAGCGGGACCATTCGGCAGCCGCATCTCCGCTTCCTGCGGTGCGGAGAGCACCGAGCATGAGCCCACCATCATCTCCATGTCCTGCCTCTTCATACCTTCTGTGTATTTTCATACAAAGCTGGTGGGGTTTTTTGGGGGGGAAATCCAAGAAAAAGACTTGCAGAGGAACCGCAGGACGCTGGAGAGTTATGGGGTACAGAGGGTGAGGGGTGTTTGCTGGAGATGTAGGAAAGCACGCGTGGAATCCCACCAAAGGCCAGCATGTGAAATCACAAGCTACAAAGGTCTACGGACATCACCTCGATCCCCTCACACATGTCATTGTACAGATTTTAATGATGGGAAACTGAGATAAAACTGGGGCAGGAATCCCCTCTTCCCAGAGGAGCATAAATCAACACATGTGAACATCTCTGACGTTGCTGTAATTAGCACCATGGCAAAGCCCATGCAGTAATTAACTTTCTCCCTTCCAAGTTAAGATTTAATAACATGCAGTAAAATAAGACCAGGGGCGATGAAACAAGCAGGAGGAAAAACCCATCAAATTAGACACTTGTGACTCGATAAGGAATTAATTATACCCTGGTCTAATAATAATAATACTACAATGCTTTTAATCTGCCCTTGTGCTCCAAGTGAGGGAGGGCGAGCTGGGAAAAAGTGCTTGAAACGTCCCGCATTGTCTCCGAGGAACGGGAGGCTGAACCATGCTGGGATGGGGCTGAGCCAGGAGAAGAAAATCCAGGACAAAAAAAAAACCAACCCTGGGCTGCCAGAGAGCTGTCTCAAACCTCCCGTCCTAGCAGGGAACGGGTCTTCCCATGGGGAATCGGTGCTGCCAGCAGCCCCAAGCATCTCTGAAGGCAACTCCCCAGGGTGTGCCAGGGTTATGGGGACCAGAAGAGAGAGAGGCTGGAGGAGAGGGAATAAATTACAGCGATGGCAAGCCCCAGTGATGGTGCTGGTCCCCAAGGGCTCAACTGCAAATGTGGGTAGAAGTGGTGCTTCTTGGTGGAGCCCAACCTGCAGCTGGCGAGCTCCTGGAGGAGCCCTGTCCGGCAGGGAGGACATCTCCTGAGCAGCTCTGATCTTTGCCTCTCCCCAGTTCTTGCTGGAAAAAAGAGAAGCTGGACACGTCCTACCAGTCGCACCGAGTCTCCCTGGTAAAGCCAAAGGGATGCTTGCTGTGCAGACAGGACACAGGGCCTGTCTCAGGTACATCTGAGATCAAGACTGATTTATCTTATTTCCTCCACCGCTCTGGCACAGAGACATTCAGTGTCCCTGCACGTTCCTGGCAGCCAAACCACTCGAAGCCAAGGGGAACACACCAGGACTGTGAAACACCCACCTTTTGAAGAGCACCTGAAGCCTGCATGGCACTTCTGAGGATGCTCTTCCCAAAGAAGAGCGCTCCAGGTCACCCTGTGTGCCAGACTCAGGGGTTCGGACCAGCCGGGACAGAGACCAACAGACTCAGGTCACAACAGACAGGGTTTCAGCCGCTCTTCACAGGCCACAGAGCTTCCGAAATACAGGCATTTTAATGAGGGGCAAAATCCAGCCCTGAAATCATTACCTGCCGCAGGCAGTCACAGTGAGGCACACCAGAGCCGGACAGATAGGACATATTTTATAGCATTACCACATCTGCCCCAAGGATTTTTACTTTTTGCCCCAAGCCCTCTTGGAACTGACTCCACCTGATGTTATCTGCTTCTTGCTACAGCTTGGCATCAGTCAAAGAAATAAATTACTCAATTACTAGAAAATCCAGTAAGACTGAATGCAGAATAAGTCTCATTAAAGCACAGAGCAAGTACTGGCAGCATCAGCACTTTTGTTTCTTGGTCTCGTTCCTTGCTCTGCCTTTGGCAGCGTGCAGGCACCGCGTGTCCTCACGCAGGGACTCTGCTCGGGGGGTCCCTGTGGTCACTTGTGTCACTTGGTCAGGCCCTGGAAGTTGGGCTCCGTACACGGTGGCAGCGCAGCTTGCCGGCTCAGCAGCTTATCCAGGATGTTTATTTCAGCATCTTGTCTCTCAATGTCCTCAAATGGAGTCCAGGACATGTCGTGCTGGAGCTTATAGGCACCGAGAAATTCGTGGGGACTGGTCCCCCATTCCTGGAAGAGAAAGGAAAGGGTCACGTGGCTGCTCAGTTTCCCTTGGAGCTGGGCTGTGCTGTCCCTCAGCCCAACCTCTGCCCATGCTGGATAGCCCTACTACCTTTGAAGAAGACCCAGCTACGTCATTATCCCTTTTTCTAACCTAAAAATAGGCTCAACTATCCCACGTCTAAGACCAGGTGCTGCTGACACAGGCAGGCTTGGGGATACAAGATCTCCCTGACCTGCACAGAGCTGCTCTGCCTGCTCCGTGCTTTGCTCTAAAGCCTTCACCCTACACCTAATAAAACAGGAGGCCTGGAAGGAGGATACCATGGCAGGTTAGCAGTTGTTCCAGAGAAAGAACTGCAGGGACCAAGAGGCAGAATTCAGGTCCACGCACCAAAGGTCATCTTGCCCACCATCCACCAAGAGCTAAGAGAACTTCATAATATGGTTCTTACACCAGCAGAGTATCTCAGACCAAGGACAAACGCCAGCTGAGCAGGAGCCAACAAATGCCTCCATCAAGTCGGTGCTTTTGTCCGAGGTCCAGAAGTGCCCAAGCACTACAAACATGGTTTTTTGCCCTCCCTGCTTCCTCAAGGGCTGCTACCACCCACCTTGGGAGACAGGATGGAGAAGTATCGCTGGCCACTCTCCCGCCTGTACATGTAGTAAATGTTTCCTGGCTTCTTCACAAGGTTGCAGGCCACATGGTGCAGATCAGCATCTCTGTTAGCTTCATCCAAGACCTGAAAATCAAATTTAAAATTTCCACACTCGAAATAAAATGACAGCACACTGTCACCTCTCAGCCAGAGCCCGAGATACATCACTTGGCACACCGCTCGCGAGGCCTTGTCCTCCTCGGCGCACATCTGGCTTCAGGCAGCCCATCTTCACTTGCCCCAGGAAGCAGATGTTTTCCAAACAGAGGAAGTTTTCTCCAGGTTTTCCCTGTCAGTTGGACCTCGGAGCTCCAGCCCCCCTCCACAGAGGCGGAGATACCACCAAGCATCAAGGACATCTTCACCACAGCCCCAGGTTCGCCTCTGTGCCTGACCCCACCACGTGCAGGACTCGTTCCTCGTCTCACAGCTGCTGGACCCTGGGGGCTTCCCCGCTGCAGTCCCCGGGGAAGGGACAGCAAACAAAGGGGAATTCATCTCCCCAGCTCCACCAGCTGACTGCTCCACCACAGCTCCACCAGTTAACGATTACATGACGAAGCGGCCTGGATGGCAGCGGGCCAGTCGCAGTGACTGGCAGATCCTTTCCCACTCAGGCTCTGAGATTTCTCCCCCAGGGTGAAGTCTGAATTGAAGAGGACAGCCAACCCCCCTGGGCTTGCTGCTGGGGCCACCTGCTCCAGCAAATGAGCTGGGACAGACTGGAAAGCCAAGCCCGTCATCAGCTAACAGCTCATCTTCTCCCAGGCGCTCAGATCCGGCCAGAGCCACGTCGTCACCCCGCTGCGCCGAATCCTCCCGGGAGCACAGCCCACACGCTACGGTGACAGGAGTTGCCTGTCCCAAAACCAGCGTCATCTCTCTGTCCTTCCTGACACCCGAGCTGCTTTTGACCGGCCGCTCTCACTCCTCCACCTTAACAGGATGCGCAGAGGACTCAGGGGAAAGCACCAAAACCAACCGTCCCCCAGCCCCAGCTGATACCAGACAACAAACCCTCGTTATTTTCCCACTGAATCT